TTTTTCTGGAACATTTTAAATCTTCGGTGCACCCCTGGATGAACTTCCAATACATGTGTACTCATGGGACCGCAACCCAGAGCAAGATAATTGAATATTCGCGGCATTCCAGAAGGTTCCTCAAAATCACTCCTGATTTTTTTCTTCATCTCCCTTGTCCATGACCTTGTAATTCTTGTTTTTTATTTTATTGATTTTTTTACAGAGAGGAATAGAGAGTTAGAAACATCAATGAGAGGAACATTGATCAGCTGCCTCCTGCACACCCCTACTGGGGATGTGCCTGCAACCAAGGTACATGCCCTTGACCAGAATCGAACCTGGGACCCTTCAGTCCGCAGGTCGACGCTCTATCTACTGAGCCAAACCGGTCAGGGTGTAATTCTTATTTATTTGTTTGTTGGTGGTCTTCTCTGCTAAGATGTAGGCTCCTTTGCTCCTCATGTCGTAGGCCCCCTTGCTCGACCCCTCCCTTCCATTCGAGATGCAGGACGGCATGAAGACATAGAAAAGCCTTGCTTTTAGAGCCAGGCTCCTTGGGTTCACCTGCCAGCTGGTGCCCTGCCTCGTTAGGCTATTCTTTGTGACTCAGTTTCCCCGTATGCGCGGGGATGATGAAGATAGAGGGTTTTGGTGAAGATTAAATTTGCTCACACAGAGAGACTGCTCAGAATGGTGCCTGGGACTTGGTTGGGTGCTCAGAAGTGTTAGCCATGGTTAGAACTGGCATGAGCCGGGATGAGTTTGCATTGGTAAGCCTATTGGGTAGAGATCCTACGTACCACATTCTACAACTTACAGCCTCCAGGAGGAGGGCTTGGAGGTGAATCCGGAAGCTGTGCCCAGGTAACGAAGAATTGGGTAGGGTGACCTGGCAGGCAGGCTCAGGCCAGCTTCTTAGCCTGCGGGCCTCCGAGGCATTGGAGAAAGATGGTCTGCAGCTGTTTGGACTGCTTCTCCCAGGGGAGTTTGTGAACAGGAGGAGGGGTCCCCTGGTTTCGAGGGGACCTTTCTCTCCCCAGCGGCTGCCTTGGATGGCTTTCTTTGTGTGGAACTGAGCTCCCGTCACCCAGGGCAGCCTCTGTCTCTAGGGAACCTTTCTGACAGAGCCTCTTGGGTCAGGCAAGGAAATTGCATACACACAGGCCCGGAGTGATGATGATGAGCCTGGGTTGCTGGGGTTCTGAGCGCCGAAGTCATCATGGTCAAGATGTGAGGTTTGCAAAGGCTGATGGGCTGAAGTCTTATCTCTCAGTCCTCATCATTCCCAAATCCGAGGCGTGGCGATCTGGGCTCAGTGAATACACACTTCATCCTGCAGCCTGTTTTTCTCGTGGTTTGGGAATTCCCTGCCCCCTAAATAAATACCTACCTAACCCCCACTG